GGGTCTGGGTGTGTCCCAACCCCCCTGTTCCCACAATTTTTGGGGTCTAGAAGTATCCAAACCCCTCTTTTCCAAGATTTTGGGGGTCTGGGAGTATCCAAACCCCCCTGTCCCTGGGATTTTTGGGGTCTGGGTGTGTCCCAACCCCCTGTCCCGGGGATTTTTGGGATCTGGGCGTGGCCAAACCCCCCTGTTCCTGGGATTTTTGGGCTCTGGATGTTCCCAAACCACCTTTTTCCATGATTTTTGGAGTCTGAGAGTATCCAAACCCCCCTTTTTCCCAGGATTTTTGGGTCTGGGCGTGGCCAAACCCCCCTGTCCCTGGGATTTTTGGGCTCTGGATGTGCCCAAACCACCTTTTCCCATCATTTTTAGTATCTGGGAGTACCCAAACCCCCCTATTCCCAGGATTTTTCCGCTCTGGATGTGCCCAAACCACCTTTTTCCAGGATTTTCAGTGTCTGGGAGTATCCAAACCCCCCTATTCCCACAATTTTTGGGGTCTGGGAGTACCTAAACTTAACTTTTCCAAGATTTTCGGGCTCTGGGAGTGCCCCAATCCCCCTGTTCCCAGGATTTCCAGTGTCTGGGAGTTCCCAAACCCCCCTTTCCCAAGATTTTCAGTGCCTGGGAGTTCCCAAATCCCCCTTTTCCAGGATTTTTTATGCCTGGAGCTGCCAAATCCCGGGATTTTCGGGCGCCGGGTCTCCCCGACCGCCTCTTTCCCCGCGATTTTTCGGCTGAAATCCTCCCGTTTCCCGGGATTTTCAGTATCTGGGAGTTCCCAAACCCCCCTTTCCCAAGATTTTCAGTGTCTGGGAATTCCCAACCACCCCTTTCCCAAGATTTTTCCCACCTGGATCTGCCCAATCCCAGGATTTTCAGTCACCAACCTCCTCTTTCCCTGCGATTTTTGGGCTGATTTTTCCCCCCTTTTCCCGGGATTTTCAGTATCTGGGAGTTCCCAAACCCCCCTTTTCCAAGATTTTCAGCATCTGGTAGCACCCAAACCCCCCTTTTCCAGGATTTTTTATGCCTGGAGCCGCCCCATCCCGGGATTTTCTGTCACCATCCACCCCTTTCCCTGCAATTTTTGGGCTGAAATCCGCGATTTTTGGGCTGAAATCCCCCCTTTTCCCGGGATTTTTTCCCTCCCAACCCCCGAAATTCCCTCCTTTTTTTTTTCCCAGTGTCCCACCAGATCATCCAGACGGAATACTACCAGAAATCCCTGGATTCCAAGGTCGACGGCGGCGAGTTCATGTTCGATTTCGACGGCGACGAGATTTTCCACGTGGAGCAGGAGAAGACGGTCTGGAGGCTCCCGGAATTCCAGGAATTCGCCAGCTTCGAGGCGCAGGGGGCGCTCCAGAATATCGCCATCGACAAACAGAACCTGGAGAGCTCCATGAAAGCTTCCAACAATTCCCGGATCCCCCCCGGTAACGCCGGGAAAACGGGAAAAAAAAACGGGAATAAAGGGGATTTAGGAGCCCCCCCCCCCCCCGCGACGGGATTTTTTAGGGATGGAATTCCCGGGGGGATTCCGGTTTTTAGGCTTCCTCACCCCCCTCCCGAGGGTGTTCGAGGGGATCCTGGGAGAATTCTGGGGGATTCCAGAAGAATTCCAGGGGGATACAACCCAATTCCAGGGGGATCTGACTTGATTCCAGGGGATCCCGGGAGAATTCCAGGGGAATATTACTCAGTTCCAGGGGATTCCAGAAGAATTCCAGGGGGATTTGACTCAATTCCAGGGGATCTGACTCGATTCTGGGGGATCCCGGGAGAATTCCAGGGGAGATCTCGTGGGAATTCCGGGCTCTAGGGCGGGGAATTAACCCCTTCCAAGCCGATTCCAAGGGATCCTGGGAGAATTCCAGGGGGATCTGACTCGATTTCAGGGGGATTTGACTCAATTCCAGAGGGATTTGATTCAATTCCAGGGGATCCCAGGAGAATTCCAGGGGGACTTGACTCAATTCCAGGGGGATCCAAGCCAATTCCAGGGGGATCCAGCCCAGTTCCAGGGGGATGTGACTCAATTCCAGGGGATCCCAGGAGAATTCCAGGGGGATACAACCCAATTCCAGGGGATCCGACTCGATTCCAGGGGGATCTGACTCAATTCCAGAGGGATCTGACTTGATTCCAGGGGATCCCAGAAGAATTCCAGGGGGATTTGACTCAATTCCAGAGGGTTCCAGGAGAATTCCAGGGGGATCTGACTCAATTCCAGGGGATCTCAGAAGAATTCCAGGGGAATCTGACTCAATTCCAGGGGTTCCCAGGAGAATTCCAGGGGGTTCCAACCCAATTCCAGGCAGATCCTGGGCAGATAATCCCAACCCCTTTCCACCCTTTCCCACCTCATCCCACCCCTTTTCCACCCCGTCCCAATCCCCTTCTCCATCCCAAACCCCTTTCCCACTTCATCCCAACCCCTTTCCAACCCATTCCCACCCCATTCCCACCACATCCCACCCATCCCATCCCCTCCCAACCCCTTTCCACCCTTTCCCCTTCCCAGTGCCCCCGGAGCTGGAGGATCCCAACGTCCTGATCCCAACCCCTTTCCCATTCCCATCCCAACATCCTGATCCCATTCCCAGTGCCCCCGGAGCTGGCTCTCTTCCCGAAGAACGCCGTGGAGCTGGAGGATCCCAACATCCTGATCCCAACATCCTGATCCCAACATCCTGATCCCATCCCAACCCCTTTCCCATTCCCATCCCAACATCCTGATCCCAATATCCTGATCCCAACCCCTTTCCCACTTCATCCCACCCCATTCCATCCCCTCTCAACCCCTTTCCCCCCCCATCCCAATCCTCTTTTCCATCCCAAACCCTTTCCAACCCCTTTCCCACCCCTTTCCCATTCCCTTTCCCATTCCCAGTGCCCCCGGAGCTGGCTCTGTTCCCGAAGAACGCCGTGGAGCTGGAGGATCCCAACGTCCTGATCCCAACATCCTGATCCCAACCCCTTTCCCATCCCATTCCCTCTCATTCCCAGTGCCCCCGGAGACGGTGCTATTCCCAAAGCACCCCATGGACCTGGAGGATCCCAACATCCTGATCCCAACCCCTTTCCCATTCCCATCCCAACATCCTCATCCCAATGCCATTCCCATTCCCATTCCCATTCCCATTCCCATTCCCATTCCCATTCCCATTCCCTGTCGTTCCCAGTGCCCCCGGAGTTGGCGTTATTCCCGAAGAACGCCGTGGAGCTGGATGATCCCAACGTCCTGATCTGCTACATCAGCAAGTTCTGGCCTCCCGTGGCTTCCATCACGTGGCTCCGGAACGGGAACGTCGTGTCCAAAGGGGTCCTGGAAACCGTCTTTTATCCCGGCCCCGACAACACCTTCCGGAAGTTTTCCTACCTCCCGTTCATCCCGAATCGGGAGGATTATTACGACTGTCAGGTGGAGCACGAGGGGCTCCCGCAGCCCAGGAAAACGCACTGGGGTG